CCCAAATCGACCCGACCCCGTAGTCATCACCATGCTGACAGCCCGTCAAGCCACGTGTCTGTATATAGTGAATGTTAAGTATTTGCAAGTACTTTTCTGCATTTCATTTGTCTGTACTTGTGTTTTTTATATTTAGTTTTATTTCTCTCAAATCCAGTGTGTTTAGTGGAACTTTTCTTTCAGGTTGCCAGATTTGCAGTCAGGCCCTCCTGTGCAAGTGTGTAATATATTTGAATGTTCCATGCTTGTGGACTCTGTTGTCATCCTAAAGGTTTATTTTATCATTTCTATGTCATATATCGCTGGGTTTGTTATACCACTGGATGTACAAATTGTAAAGCAAAGACACTAGAGAACTAAGGCAGACGCCAACTTTTTTTTTTTTTGTTTTCTAAAAGCTGAAATGTGATCATGCAATAGTTTAGAGGGGAGGTTCTATTACATTAAGGCCTCGGGAACTTTTGGGCCTCGTGTTTGCATCTTCATCATCAGAAGGGGGCGGTTATGTCATCGGCCCATGTTTCGCGCCCCTCCCCCTCATCTTGCTAACCAACCACTGATTTCATTTCTGCCCTGCAAAGACAACACACAGCCGCTAGTGTTTGCGTGGTTTAAAAGGTCAAAGGTGGTGACTTGATATATCGGTAACCAGTAACTAACCACTCGTGTTCTAATATTGCCTTTTATGTGACAGGAGGTAAAGAAGGGGAGGGCTTGTGTTTTTTTGTTTTTCTAGGGCAGAGCTCATCCAGGACGTGGATTCAAAGCCGTATCAGTCCTCACTAGTTCTTCCAGCAGCCTGAAAGTCTCCGTTCTGTCTCCCCTCTCCCCTTGCCATGTGGGATAATAAAATAAATACAAAAAAACAAAAAAAAGTGAAAGCACATAATCATCTCCAGTGCCTCTCTGCCCACCTTAAGACATCACTGTAACTCCGCTTCAGATGTAAACATATGGGCATGGTTCAGTTTTAATGGCTTTAATAATAAAATACAGTCAAATGTGAGCAAGTGGGTTTCGGTTTGTTAATGTTTATTTATTTGTATCGAGTGAGGAAACAACAGGGGGGAGGGGGTGGACGTTGACGTTCATGTTGTGATCACTGAGCGTGAACCAGAGCACCGGCTCCTTGGCCGTAACCGAAGCCTTTGGGCCCGAAGTTCTTGGCGTAACACGCTGTGGAGGGAGAGAGGAAACAATAAATGTTAACGAGCTGCAGGTGACTGCATCCTCACATGACTGACATTAAGCAGGCATTTAAAAACTGTAGGTGATTTCATGTTGTTGGTCAAGCTTTCACAAAGGGAAGAATCCTCGCCAGTGTTACTTTTCATTTCCATGTCATACCAAACCTGTGGCCCATCCCTCATGGGATTTAAAAACCAAAGCTATCTGTACAGTATATATCAAATATGACAAAACATATTCTGGCCTTATGTTAAAGGGAAAATGCACCACTTTTTTATGTGGACATCCAATCAGTGTTGATGGTAAACTGAGATGACCGAAGCAACAAATTCCTCAGTGCTATATATTGACTGCTCACCGAGCCGTGCCAGCAGTGCCTTCATATACCAGAATGCATTGCGCAGGAGCTTCTGACGTCCAGAGGGTCCCCGCCGTGCCAGATCCTCTCGAGCTCCCTCCACCGCATTTCTTCGGCCATATACCTGAATATCTGAGTCCTCCAAAACACCCTAAAATGTCCATAACATCTTCTGCGCTCATATCATGGGATGCCAATTTTACAGTTTTTAATACAAACAAATAGAACAAGGAGGTTCTGTTTTCTTGCCGCATCTAGAACACTCTGGCTGTCCAGAACGAGGAATCAAAGCTGAACCAGCAGCCTGCAGTTCTTCCTCACCTCCAACTTCTTCACTATCGAGTCAGGATGCAGGAGGACCACATTTTGCGGCAGCAAGCTCAGCTTTGTGGGTCAGTATAGCACGCTCTGAGGACCATCAACACTGATTGGACATCCACATTTAAAGGTGAATTTTTCCTTTAATCTTGTTAAAGGGCTTTTTTTCTTTGTGTATCTAGGTAAGGTGTAAATGTTTCATATGTGAAGAGCCAATTTTTGGAGATCATCCACGTAACTTTTACAAATAATCCACTAATTAGTATTGTGAGATTTCAATCAAAATCAAAAGAAAAATAAAAGCGTATTTCCTGCATCACTGAGATGACACATTGAACAAACCTGCTTCCATTTTTCCAGTCTTTGCTCCTTAGATAAATTCCAGACATTTTAGCATCCTAGATGTACACAGCTAATTAATATTACATTTAAAAAATAGCTGTTAAAAAATGCACCTGATTTTTGATCAAGATCAATTGATTTTTTTCCCCCATATCAGGGAGCTGAACTATTACTGAGCTCCACATATTTTCCATCATTAGGACTAATTATTGCTGCTGTATTGAGATGATCCACAGCTGGTGTTCTTATACATCTAATAAATCACACCTTGATGGACAAAAAGTTCTCCAAGTAAGAAGAACATTAAGTTTTACTGTGTCTTATTAAGACATCTCCCTCATTTTTCTGTTGCGTGTGTGCATGTGTGTGGGTTTTCACGTTTACAGTGGAGTTTCCCAGCTCGAACACTCACACTCAGAGCTGTTTACCTCACATCAACATGCAACGTTTAGAACAAGCTCACCACTCAGGTTGTGGTCGGAACAATTAGGTGCAGAATTTCTGACTTTTTTTTTTTTTTTTCTTTTTTCTTTAATACTCTGAAAACCACTCCTGGTTTGTTTTGAACAAAACGTTAAAGGGGGAACTTCTCCGTCCTGCTGTCCACATGAGTCTTCAAAATGTTCCTGATTACAGTAAGAATATCCAGCTGCTGCTCAGACAGAGACGGGAAGTCTCTGAACCACAGACTGATATCAGCAGCAGAGTCTGGCCTGTTTGGGTTTAGAGCAGAGATGCAACATTCCTCCTCATCAGTACAAGGTTTCATTATGACACTCAGCAAAACATTCATTTGTTTTTTATGTCTTCTGTTTAACCAAACCGGCCGCATTTCATTGTGCTGATGAGGAGGGAGAACTCACACTGCACGTGTCTCTGCCTCGGAAACCCGACTAACCAAGCGTGGAATAACTCATGTGGTACGACCGTGAACACGAGGGTTTGTGTGATTTGTTGGTCCAGGTCTGATTTTGCTGATACGATCACATCAGCCGACAGTGGTGAGGAGCTCAGCTGCAAGAGCTGATCTCTGCACAGATTTGTGAATCCCTAATTCATCTTATGAGCAGGTGTTAAATGTTCTCGTTTGTTATTGATCTTATTTACCTATAACATGGCTACTGAGGCTCTATCTGAGCTACATGCTAACATTAGCATGCTGACAACGACTGTGTTAACAGATGTAGTGTCTACCCACAGACTGTATGCGTCTGCCATGTTGACCATCACGGTTTAGCATGTTAGCATGATAACATTTGCTAATTAGTGGCAAACACAAAGCACAGTTGAGGCTGATGAGATCGTCAATAGTTTTGGTGGTAAAAACAAGCAGAAAGTTCTTTAAAGGCACAATGAGCAGGCTTTTCACGACTCATTCATTATGTTTAGTGAGAAATGTGTTGCGTGGTGTATTTATTCCACTCCTGCTCTGCCAAAACGTGTTGGCGAGCGCAAATGTTATTTCACCTTATAGTGGTGACAGTAATCCATCAGAAACAATTTGTTGTAATGCTGTGAGTGAAGCGTCACACATCCTTCACCCCAGATGTTTTTGTCTCACCTTTGCAGTAGATCTCTCCGTCTTTCTCGGTCTGCGTGGTCGACTCCAGGCTCTTGCCACATTTTGCGCAGCGGAAGCAGTTCTTGTGCCACGGCTATGAAGAGAAAGGGACACGTTTAGTTGTACTGAGAATTGTATTGCTGTTCAAGTCTGTCTTCATGCTTTAATGCTAAATCTACCTTTAAATGGTCAGATGAAATAAGTTAAGCACTTAAGTTAAGAGCTGATAAAAGCAGATGTTTCTCACAACATACGTCATCGTTTCCTTCATTAAGTCCCATCAGAGCAGCGAACACAGAAAATTACAGGTGGTGCTGTGTGCCAATGAGTGGAGCCTCGTAGAGTTCCTCCCATTAGGAAACACATGAACCCGATGACATCATCTGCCATGAAACAGCTTGTATGAATCCACATGCGATCAGTGACAGGAAACACTCCGCTCCCATTTTTGGAGGGAAAAACAGAGCCCCTTAGAACACATTCCTTTGTTCTTCTGTGGACAACGAGTCCGAGACTCATTGATTTTTCTTCCTCAGAACCAAAACATCCTGTCGAAACATCATCTGCTGCAACTGTGCCAGAGCCCCGCTGTCCAGACAGCCCGCGCTCGATTAACGCCAGCTGTTAGGAAGCTCCCATCCCAACGTCATGGAACAGCTTCAATCAGAAAAACAGGATTTTGTGTTCTCTCATTAGAGGAGACCACACCAAACCTGCCTGTGGAGTTCAAGGAACAAACACCGCTGGCAAGGTTTGATTTCTGCTTATGATCAAACTTTATGATGCAGCATGGTGAAGTGGACTACACATCTCACAGGTCATTATAACCCTGTTAAGTTCACACTGCAGCTTGAATAAGTGAAACTCATTGAGTAGAGTTGCAGGAGCACAACCTTCAATTCTGGGGTGAAAGATCAGATTCATGAATATATGTGCCAACTATCATGGCAATCCATTTGACAGATGTTGAGATATTTCACTCAAAACGACAGATGTCAACCTCAGAGGACAAAGCTCTCACCTTGCCTGCCCCCATGATCTTCTCTGCTGCATAGACCGAGTCCCCACAACGGGCACATTTGTCCGAACCGCTAAACTTCTGGGCAAATTTGGACGGGTTGGGGTTGGTGGTCGGTCTGTGAGTCTGTGTCCTGAGAGAGGGTGGGGGGGGTGGGTGGGGGGCATATGAAGAACATGCCAAATTGGTTTCCAAAAAGTCATGAATCTAAAAACCATCATCATCCAAAATGTCAATAATCTAGTCTCTAAAAATATTACAAGCTGAAATTGATCCTTTAAAAAGTAATTTGTCATAAAAAATATTTTTCTTAAGTGCTGGATATCAGATTATTCTGAACCAGAACCTCTTTTCTTGAGAAGACATTTACTCATTTACCAATAGTGAACCAAGTATGACCCAAAACATTGACATATGCAAAGACACCATAAATAAACCTGGCAGACCCTAGTCCTCTACTGTCTCTCTCGCTGTCCTCAGCCAGTGGTGGGAAAGTGAGCAGGGCCCACTGGGCCCCCAGAGCGCTGCTCATCGAAGGGTGACTGCCAGCCTCAGCGGCCCCTGAATGAAGCCCTTTGTGGCGGAGGACAGAGAGGAGGGAAAGCGGGATCCTGCTGGTTACATAATCAAACTCTTTTACAACGGTCGTCACCTGAGGCCCGAGGCAGGCGTAAACATTCAGGGTGGGTGGGTGTTTGTTTGTGGTGCCGTTGCATAAATGAGCCTCTATGCAGACATTTCAAGATACAAAACAACAACAACACAGCTCTGACCATATATATATATATAGCAAGTAACAAACAGGAAGACAGCACACTAGAACAGATCACTTTGGTTCCGTGTTGGCTGAAATAATCATCTCGACCATCCCAATCGACAGCCCAGCTCACTCTTCGTGTTTGATTCCCAGTCGCTCCCCCCGGTCCATGTTGAGCGTCCCCGCCCCCTGACCGTAGCCGTAGCCTTTGGGGCCGTACTTCTTCCCGTAGCACGACTTGCAGTAGATCTCCTGGTCATGAATAGCCAGCGTGGTGCTGTCCAAGCCCTTCCTGCAGACCACTGAGGACGCACAGAGAGAAGGAGTTACGCAAGTGGAACACAGCATCTTCCTGTGATCAGGATGTCGCAGAAATGACTGTAAAGATACAGTGGAGTATGGAATGAAGTCACCCTCCCTCTGCGTGTGTGTTGTTATCTGAGCTCTGCCTTGTTTTGATGACATAGCCGGGCCGGCTGCATGCCTTATTAGTGCATTCCCCCATTAGCTAAATGCCCGTCGCTCTGCACTGCTTCCATATGACGCTTAGAGCTCCGTTCCTCCCCCAGGTTAACACCGTTAGCTTTGTCAGCACTGCTGCCGTTGTTTGCGCTGTTAGCACCGTAAGCAGCAAGCCGCTGGCTCAGCTGTCTCCATGTTGAGAGCCGCGTGGAGGCAATAGATGCCTTGAATACCGTATTGTACACATTTAAGCACCTTAAGTTAGCACAACCAGAAAAGCACACAAACTCAACCAATAAAGTAAAAGTCTTCATATACAAAGCAGGAAGAGGCATTCAGTAGTGGGGCTACATTTCTTATGTATGCCCTTTTTGATCTAGATTTTCATCATAACTAGTTTTTCTGATGTCGGTGCAGGATTCATTAGATCTAAACAGTAGCAGTTGGGGCAATTTGTTTATTTAGCAGGTTTGTGCAAAGTAAAGAATGCATTGTTTGGAAAAACAAAAGCATTACAGAGGCTTAAGACTCTGTAATGCACGCTGGCTGGTGCTGGGATTAGAGGAATTCTTCACACAGTGGCCTGCACTGTGTGATCACCTGATAACGGTTTAATATTTCACACAACTGGCTGGGACAAAATGTCTCCACTCGCGTCTCTCTGATCTCAAATCACTTTCACAATGAAAGCTTGTTTGAAAATTTCTGTTCGTCCAATCCAAATCGCTCCTAAATCTTCATATACTGTGAGGGTTTCTCTGAGTGCTTCGAGTTTCCCTTCACTACAGTCGGATCATCCATCTTCACGCGTAACCGCTGGCAGAGAGTAAGCAAATACAAATGAAGACAAAGTTTCAGTACGTGCACAAAGGGTCGCATGAGGCTCCGTTTGACACTTCTGTCAGTATATAGATGCCTTTCACACACAGAAAGGAAAAGTGGTGAATGTCACAGAATGTCAAAACTGAGAAACTGGAGAAAAGGGCAAAGGACACCAAGTCCCCTTGCCCGTAATCTCCTCAGTAGGAATGTCAGACAAAGCTGCCGTTGTATGGAAGAAAATAAACTCTTCTTTTTGTGGCTCATATTGCTTTGGTCTTCTCTTGATGGCAGCTGAATGAAAGAGTTTGTATAATTCTGGTGTCTATCTTATAGGACAAGAGGCCCACCCGTCCAACAAATTGATAAGAATACATCGTGAAATCAACAAACAGTGAGACAAATGGCAGTATGAGCTTCCATGATTCTTTTCACAACGCTTCTCGCCGTTTTTCATTTTTTTTGGGGGGTGAGCTGCTTTAGTCATTACAAAATGGTCTTTCACTCATGCTTTACTATGTGGCAAGAACACATTATTAAAAGGGGAACTATATTAAGTAGTGGGACTCACAAGAGACAACAAAAGAAGAATATTCAAAATCAAAGCAGCAGTGGAGGCTCAGGTGTCCTGACGTTTAGTCTGTAGCATGGAGCAAGCGCACTATCCTACACTTCCCATGATGCCCCTCCATAGCCTCTTTTGGACCACCCATCCCTGGTAAATGCCCATGACTTCAAACTCCACTTAAAAACATGCACAAACACTGCTATGCTCTTTAAATGTGATCTTAGTCCACGCATTGAGGTGTTCCAGCCATACTTACTGCAGAGAAAACAGCATTTGTGGAAACTCTTCCCGTCACACTGCACCTCCTCGGCGTGGTAAACCGTCCCGCGGCACGCTGCGCACTTGTTGCCTCCTCCCCAGTTCGGCATTGTCAGCGTTTCTGAGAAGGGAGAGGTGGAGATGATGTGAGAGGCTGAAGCGTCTGAAGCAGGGTTACTTTGACCGTCCCACCAATAAGCTCTATTGGGGGGGGGGGGGATTTATAATGTTGCACATGGTTGAACTGAATCCGCTGCTCCAGGCCACCGCTGCCATCCTGAAAAAAATAAATAATAACAAAGCAAAAAGAGGTCGGCCTGAACAATAGGGCAGACTAATACCCAAAGGAATGTTTCAGGGCGTCTTCTGTTGTGTGCCGTGACTGCAGGATACAAACACAAACAGCAGTGTAAAGTAGCCACTGTTGTTACCTCACAGAGCCTCCGTGACATGACGGGCACATTCACTCCTTGACTCACAAGCACATCTGTCTGGAATTACAGACTCACTCCCCTTTAAAATTGGTGTCAAAAGGGGGCGAGACAGATTTAGCATTTCATCACCGCAAAAGCAAGCCTGCTGCGATATCATATTCGGGAAGACTGAAATTAAAAAGCTCCGTTATCTTTGATTAATTTGAAGAGAAAGCACAAAGCCGCAGAAACCATTAATGTGGTCGGCCCTCCTCCCAGCTGGATTAGAGTGTAGAACAGGCGGGGCGGGGGGAGATCAAAAGAACACTGACATTACCCTCAGGGGGTTGGGTGTGATGAGAAGGCACACACACCAACAAGTCAGCTGATGTGTACCATCAAAGAAACCGCAGTCAATTGAAAGCCTCACACAGTTAAGTGGTAATATCTAGTCTACAATTAAGGATTCACGTATGTGCCTTTGATTCATTAATGCTATTTTTAGACTTAAGTGGCCAAAGACCAACATCTGTGCTGATATCCAGTGATTTTAAACACGGCACATTTCATTCAGTATTTGTTCCCAGAAAAGAATCCTAAACAGCTCTGAGATCATTGCTGCTCACTTAAATGTTCCACTCAACCAAGACTAATTAAATTGTATTATTGTTGAACTCTTTACAAAAGGGTGATTCACCGAACCCTTTGGAAACTATGGGAGACATTACTGCCATTACATGAAATTGCATCTGATTTTTAATTGAACTCTATTTTTTGTTTTCTCCTGGCACTATTCAGAATACTATAGTCAATATACGGTGTGACCTCTGACCCTTGAAAACATACTGAACCAATCAATAGCAGCAGCTGGACCAAGTGTCTCTGTCGAATTTTAACATATTTTTAATGGTTTAGGAATCGGACTTTAGGAGACAATCCTGCTCGCTGTACAACATTCCGGTGGGTACTGTGAGATGTTGTTCTCATAAAAGTGTATTAGGTGACGTTATTAGCTAAAGTAAATTACTTTTCGCTTCGACGTAATATATAAAATGAAAAAAAATAACTCAGCAGCGTTAGCATGTTATTATTAACGTTATACAGTATTTAAAACACTACATATTCATTTAGGCTAGCATGTTTTTGTGCTAATGTCACCCAAATAGTTTCGCGGGTATTGTTTGGCTTGTTAGCCTGATAATTTGTCATTCGGTGTTTGTATTGTATTGCTAGCTAACATCTGCCACTGTCACCTTAATTTGTGTCGGCTTTAAATGGCAAAAGCAACAATGTATCCAAAGTATTGACGTTACAATTGGGCAATACATAACTAAAGAGATTCACTTGGAACCTGCGGCCATGGTAATTGCGCAAAAGTTGTCCTACAGTTTGTTATACAAGTATAACAAGTACACTAACTGTATTTGCTCTTCAACCAACACATTCAGTAACATTCAATAAAAGCACAAGTTTGTCAGTAAACCGGTCGGAAATCCACACCATTGAGTTTCAGAAAAAAACATTTAAATTAAAAAATTACAGAAACACAAAACAAAATCAAAGTTACCTTAAGTAGACTTTTAAAAAGCGGGTATGGTATAGGTAGGTGTGAAGTTAGGTTCCAGCTGGACGTGCTCTCTGTGTATCTAGACGACCCTCCGGATCCTCAGACTGCAGCAGACTCCACTACACTGACGCTGCGATGCCACATACTCCACATATTTAGTGTTTCAACGCAAGGAGGGGCTTCAAGGGGCGTGAACTCAACACTGCTGCCTTCAGGTGCCGTCAGAAATTCTGACTCATAGTAAACGGAGGACCAAGTAATGATGCGTATGTAATAGGCCCATGGACAGCTTACATGGAAGCATTTTTCTGTATAGCGAGACTCTCAAATCAGAGAAAAAGATGCACTAAGTCCCATTTAAATATGCCCCGCCAAAAATTAATTTTTTACAAGTTACATAAAGGGGTTATAAAAACAATTATATTTGACAGACCATTAAACACAGACAAGCCATATTTTATATGATTCCCCCCCCCCCCCCCCCCCCCCAAGGATCCATATGGGCAGAACATGTGAGGAGTGTAGAACTATTCTCCCATCTACACTGTGTGGGGGGATTGAAGAAGTATAAGAAAACTATGATGAAGATACGGTGTGTTACTCTTGGCCTACTGTAAAAAGGACATGTCCTTAAAACCCAAAAGCTCCAAAAAGAACTTGTCAGGATTACAGGAAGTGAGGTGGAGACAGTAGACGGTGTCTACACTTTTCTGTTCTTGGGCTGCATTGTATATAGGAAATACTGTAAATGCTTAAAAACTGCATAAGCTGCATAAGTTTGTCCAAGCTTTGCCGTTATCCTGCTCCCTGCCCCCTGCTGGACACACAGTGAAAATGATGGAGTGTTGATGAGTTTCCCTTGCAAGCAGGGGAAATGCTTTCAGCACAAAGAAAAGCCAAAACGATTGGTTGGGTTTGACATTGTAACTATATCAAACAGACTATACTGTTGCATTGACACAACTCTGACCAATGCAGCACTGCTCCTCGAAAATAACTATTCTCTCTCTGCAATTCTTAAATATGTAAATGCATTTGGGCTTTTGCAATTCTCTCCTGCTTTTTATGCTAAATTGGAGCCAGATGACTGAGTACAATTAGAGATTACAAAACACTTTGATAGTTAAAAACAAAAAAGTAAATGTTCACTACAGGTGAAAGAAAGAAGCCATGTTTTACTTTTTAAAGCTTTAAGTCGCCGCTGTTATGGTGCCATGCAATGTGGGAGAAAGCATCAACTCTACTGGTTATGACCTTATGTCTCATAACCTTTGTCATGGCATCACTAAGTCCCATCACATGGAGCTACATGGGAGCAGATTCACTTTAATTAAAAGGTTCAATCATAAAATTAACTCCTTTTAAGGAGGGCAGGGCTATGGGACTTTAATGTAAACAGAGATGCAGTGAATCTGATCCTTAGTTAAACCAGCATGTGTAGCTGATCCAAGTCTCCTGCTGTTAGAATATCATCTGCAGTGAGTGGTTTGCAGAGGGAGAACAGACAGCACCCTGCGCTGTCGCCCAGCAAACCTCAGCTTCATCTTTCTGCCATGATGCTGTTAGTTTGGAAATGACCAGAACAATAGAGCGCTTGATGGAGGAATACTCAATCAGCTGTTTATCCGCAGACTGACGACTGTTCATTTCAGCATTATTCTATGTAAAATGGATGATGACGAGGACATTTGTTGTGACGATAGACAATAGCTGGAAAATACATATGAGATGGTAATTGTCGGCCATTAAATGAAGCCATATGTGCAGCTACTAGACACTGCAGGGCTGTGAAAAGCATTTCCACAATAAATAGAATTTGATATATTGACAATGGGAATTTTTCTATCTCATTTATTTAAGCAATAAAGTTATGCGAGACCGACATCACTCATGTGAAAACGGTTCTCTCGGTCGGCACATTAACCTAATGTGATTGTTAATTACATGCAGCTGATTGAGCAGCCAGCCCTGCTGAATGTGAACCTCGCTAGTGTTGAACCATTACCCCACAGTGAAGCAGTCACCACACATCCCCTCCTACAGTCAAAGTATGCCTCTAACCAAAGGAATTTGCAATGAAAAAAAGAGTATGTTGTATATTGGTTTAGAAAGGGTTACAAAGCCGGAGACCGCACAGAATCACTGAGAGAGAAGTTATGAGCAAAAGGAGAACTCTCTGAACAGTGAGAAATCTACCCAGGAGTTCTCCGAGGATATGCAGGGAAAACTGGAGGAAGTCTCAGCAGAGCCATGAATATACTTTAAAGAAAAGAACAGGCCTCTCAAGCTTCAGCTAAGGTCAGTTTTCATGACTCCACAATAAAGATAGAGACTGGCAAAAAATGGGATTTAGGACCTGAATGTTCCCGTAGGATTTTAGGAATGTGGTCAATGGACCAACTAGACAAACATTTTACAATAACAGGATCCAGGTATATCCAGGCAAACAGGACCTGGGAACATTTAACAAATTGCTAAAAGTAAAGTTTTGACTCCAGTGCATGATAAAAGTACAGATATTTCACTTTTACTGCGATCTGTAAACCTAAGAATAAAAGCTATATCAATTTTCTTATGATTTAAAAATAAATGAGTTAGATTAGGTCTTGCACAGACTGTAATTGATTATAATAAATATGTTCTCTGAATAATTAAGAATAAGGTAGTGTCAGGCTTTATATCTGAGGATATGTTTTCATTTCATTTTAGCCAATTCTCAATTATATAAATCTTATAATATATAGGTTGTCGTTAATTTTACATGTTGTTTGTTGTCACCAATAACATATATTTATTTACAAATGTCAATTGACTAAAACAACAGTAGTAGTTGTAGCAGTTGTTTCAATGGTAACCGCAGTAGTAGTAGAACTAATAATGGTGTAGAAGTAACCGTAGAATAACTAGCAATACTTAATGGTGTATTAGTAGAAGTTGAACTAGCAATAGTTGGCTTAGTGGTGGTAATTGTAGATCAAGCAACAGTTAGTGGTTTACTATATTCCTAGAACTAGCAGTAATTAGTAGCGTAGTGGTAGAACTAGCAATATAGTGGTGAACTATCGTAGTAGAACTAGCAATAGTTAGTGGTCTACTGGTAGTAGTCAAACTTGCAGTAGTTCATGGTGTAGTAGTTGTAATATTAGAACTAGCAATAGTTTATGGTGTAGTAGTGGTAGAACTAGCTGTAGTAAGTGGCGTAGTAGTAGTGGCAGTAGTAGAACTAGCTGCAGTTAGTGGTGTAGTTGTATTACTAGCGATAGTCAGTGGTGTACTAGCAGTAACGTTTGTTGAACTAGCAGTCGTTTGTGGTAGTAGTTGGAGCACTAGTAGAACAGGCAGCAGGAGTGAAAGGTTGTAAGTTAACATTATGCAGTAGTAACAGTATATATTGTAGTAGTATGAATCATAGTTTAACTTGTTATAGTAGTAGAAACAATAGTATCATGGTGGTAAGAATACTACTAGCTACTAGTGTATATTTGAAAGTGTATAGTGTGTCTTCATTGTAGTGTTTCTGGCCACAGCAGATACTTGGCTGAACCATCCGTCTATATAAAGTTAATTGTCCCATCTGCTGAGGTTTAGTGTCATAAATGCCTGGCAGGCGCCAAACACATCTATTGGCAGCTCCCTCAGCTCACTTTAAGTGCTGATATAAAAGCTTAGATTAGATGTTTATGTCCTCGCACAGATGGTGTGTGTGTTTCTAAGTTTGACTCAATCAGCCCGATCTGACCCACAGATCACAATTGATGTGTTGAATGTGTTTCTCCCCAACGGAATTTGTATTTATTATAAATAACTTAACCTCAGCGAACCGACGCGGATTTACTGCATGGTCAATTTGAAATTTAACCACCTTTCTGCTTTTTCGCACTGACATGTGAGGAGTGAATCATTTCTTGTAATAATGCAGATTATAACAGTGGCTTCACACAGACCATCAGCTCCATTTGTGTGTTTATTACGCACAACACCGCAGTTTGCAGCGACAGGAATTGTGTTACAGATGAAGAGTGTCATCTGACCGCCTTAGCATGGCTAGCCTCCATCTGCCGGGCCATTATAACTTGGACTCTGAGTTATTGGGCGCATCTGTTAATTAGTATATCGGTAAACTGTAAATCTGTCACTATTTGGCTTGCCATTTTAGGGGATTTTTTTTTCTCCCATTGTAGAATAAAACAGAATAGGATAATTGATGAAAAAAAATTCTGAAAATACAGTCACAAACTTGCACACATGACAAAGCTGGACGGAGTCATACATTTTTAATGAAAGTTTGTGGAAGTCATACAGAGCCAGTTTAGCTCTTAACTACAGAGAGCAGAGAGCTACAGTGAAGGTGTTGTAACAAGTTGGATCAGCAGACACAACTACCAAAACTAGCAGTGCAATAATCATTATTTTCAAACACAGGAAAGCAGCATATAACATTCTGCATAAATGACAATATGAATAGAATATACAGAAATACACATACGATTGTACATTAATGAATACACGTCGGCGGGTCAGAGTGGATTATCTGCGCACCCTTTGGTGTGACACCGCTAAGCTCTCCTCAATCTGATTCCCGTACAAAGCACCGATATGGCTGGCTCGTCTGGAGGCAAGTTAGAGGGCTGTTGATACGAATCCCCTGCACAACTTCAGAATCTGTAATCAGGCAACAACTCTCTTATCTCAGCCAAGGTGCCTTTTAAGTAAGGCACATACCCCCCCGACATCAGCAGCCAACAGCAAAGTATGACCCAGTGGTCATACTGGGAGGTCTCCCTAATGTGTCGGGACTGTACGAACGACACTCAGCTCAGTCTGCTTTCCCTGGATAAATTAAGGATTAAAAAAAAACATCTTTACAGTACTCTGATAAAGTCCCAAGTATTCAAGTCCCTGACAGCATCGTCACATTGTCCCTCAGTCGTCAGTAACGGCGGCTAAAGGGTTTGGTGTTTAACATTTAAGCACTACGGTTGCAGATACTCTGTGAAAACATACACAGCACCAGTAAAATGAGTCTTCCTGATGGGTAGATGAATGCACCCGCTAGGCCAAGAACTGTTCCTGGAGATTATTGGCTGACTGTAAACATTTAAGGCTTTAGTGATTTATCTCTTCACAGTAATGTCTGAAATGAGCCAAGAGGAGATTGTCTGCTACTGTCCATGTATAAAAAAAAAAAAAAAAAAAAAAAAAACTGGTAATCTGCAGCTAATAGAATTTCTATTATACCGTGATAATGAAACAAAAACTGAAGGGGCCGACTTAACAACAATCACTTCAAAATTAGACAGACATTCTGTCAGATGCTTAGTGCTAAAAACACAGTTAATGTTCCATTACAGTCCCTGTAATCAACATATATTAGCTAAAATATAAATAGCAATTGGCCTATGATACACAAGGTACGGGGGAATTAGGTAGCCTGATCACGTCTGGGAGGGGGAATTAAGGCTGAAATATTAAATATAGCAGTGACCGACTCCCACCACAGGAGGGCACTGTGACACTGGCAATACTGCTTCACTCATGCACTCTGAAATCTTGTGTGATGAGGCACATTCGGACCAATAACGGAAGAGTTTGGTTAAAAACTGACAGTCATTAGCAAAATGTCAGATATCGGATTGTTTTGTATCTTAGGAAAGACTTCATTTGAGTTCTCCGCTGACAGTGTTTTGCTTAAGTTTATATTCATACAGTTTATAACAAAGCACCAGTGGTTTTAAAACCATTTTTTTTTCACTTTCAGGACAAACACCTGAGTGTTAAAACAGCATGTTAGCCAACCCCTCCATCTCCTCACATGTCCAACTGGTTGGTTGGCGGGTGGCCGACGTCCAGTCTCCTCTGTGCCGAGCCTCTTTTTCGGGCAGCCGGCGCAGCGCTGACTACACTTCCCAGTGTGCCTGGGGTCTGGAAGAAAGCCCTAGAGGCAGACGGAGCGGTTTCCTTCGGAGTGTGTGGAGTCTGTGAAGGTAGAGAAGCGATGTGAGATCGGAGAACATTTAGACGGAGTCCTGCATTATTTCCATGCACTGTAGGGATATGTTTCTATGGAGGTGCCTCTCAGATAACAATAAACTGCCACTGTTGAGACGCTATTTATAGATGACTAGTGCTAGAGAGTTAAAGACCAACTGGGGATGACATTAAGATGGTGTGAATTGAGTTTCTTTTTTTTTGTTCAAGGTTCAATATCTGACTACAGCAAATCTCCAAACTTTGATTAGTCAAAAGCATTTCAAACTAGTTTGTAAAAGGCACTAGTAACTTGCAAACGGTCTTCATTTTTTCATGTTAAATGTGTTTGCTCATGAGCAAGTATTACAAAGGTAATTATTGATTTAATAGTCAAATCCAAAGCCCGAGTCAGCTTATTCAAACTGCTTGTTTCTGGTGGACCAACAAAGAGCTATTCAATTTGCTATCACAGAATACAATAAAAAGCAGCAAATATTAACCAATGGTTCCAGTGATTTTGTTTTCGGTAGTAAAACTGCCCATATTAAAAATGAAAGGGGGGGGGGGGGGGTACATCCAGCACCTCGGCGGGCCGTCTTGAACCCGCTGTTTGAGAAGAGCGGTGCCGACAGACTATGTTGGGCTTCGGACAAGAACATTAATCCCCATTGAACAACTTGGAGATTAATCAACTTGAAAGCGCTAAATGAGAGCGTCTGAATGAGTAAATGAGGGGAGACCCTCCACAAAACAAGCTGCCGCACTTGCTCTGGTGTCAAGATGTGTCGTGGTATTTTGCAAGCGCCCGGGACCAGAAAGGTCATGTATCATTATGGAGGTAAATGATGTTGGAGTTAATGTGTTTTTTAGAGCAGATATCTGTGTGTGCGTGCGTGTGTCTTACCAGTGGTTCTGGTGTGTGGATGCTGACAGTCTGATGCAGTCCTGAGGGGGAATGTGGAGCTCCGGCTGCTGAGCCGTACAGACCGCTCTGTTCTGGAATGGACGGCGATGGAGCCGGCGACCCGCCAATCTCCGCCGCCACCCCAACCATAAAGTGGGCGGGCGACATGCCGCCGGCCACCAGGGGGTAGTGGGAGAGGGCGGCAGAGGGCACTAGGACGTAGGGCAGTGCCAGGGTGGGAACGCCACTGTGGGGAAGTGCTAGACCGGCTGGTGTTTGGCCAGCAGAGAGGAGGAAGTTGAGACCGTTCAGACCTGGAAAAGACGGATCAGGAGAAGAGAATATTAAATTTTATGGACGCTGTTGGTGATTTAAAAATGTGTTAGGAAGTAGTCTCCTAACCTGTACAGAGACATGGAGATGGATATCAAGCCACCTGTCTGTCAGAACTACACAGCTGTCTTAATAAACTGTCTCGTCATTCTTTGACTCCTATATGGTGATTACTTTGTTTTCATCAACATGCGTTTAAGTAACTATTTACTTGAATCTGTATTTTATCTTTACCTCTGTAATAAACCATCTCTTTGTTGACAAATTACTTCACAACTTTAACGTAATTATTGATTAGTTTTACGTCTTTTGTAGCCAAACAACTGAGAACAAATCCCAGCCTTGAGTCATTTTTATTTCATTTTAGAGTATGGTTTAGTAGTATAGTGTACTTCTATATGAGGTTGCACAAAAACACACGTCTCTGCGTGACCTGGGTTTTGTCATGTGAATTACCTGCATTGTTGGGTACATAGAGGTAGTGCGATGGTTGGGGGGGCTCACTGCTGCCTGGACTCTCATCGAGCCTATGCTCTCTGATGAGACCTGCTGGGCGACTGGGGGAAGTCCTGGGGTGACCCGTTAGCGAGCCCTCTGCTGCTTCCCTGCGAGGTTCATCTCTCACCTGGAAGGAGAACAAACAGTGTGGATAAATCAACCTGGATCAGCTGATTTAAAATCCTGGGACCATCCATCTAGAGCTGTATCCATGAGGCCGAGACGCATGGCACTATTCCTCAAGCTAGATGAAGTCTACAATCCATCTTAAAGGAATATTTAATGTGATAAAGTGTAACAATTTATGACCCGGCAAATAAAAATCACTGCAGTGATTAACACTCTCCCCTTCTAACATTAGAATTACCTTCTGACAAGTCATTGCAAAAGTGCAGCGCTTTTAGTCCACTCTCTTAACCTTTTCTGTGACTTTTCCCAATTACTAAGATTGTGTAACCTGATTAATGACGAGGGTTTTCCAATCATAATATCCTATACATTACTAATATAGGTATTTAATTACACCAGGAATAACTTCTCCCCATCAGCGAGCATGTAGTATTTCATATTTTCAATTTAACGGTCTGCGATCCAGAATTACTAGCCGCAAAACTGCACAGAAATAAAGAAACATCATAGTACTGCACTGAAGCAAAAGTAATTATGCTGTTCCCAGTCAAGCTCAACCGAGACGAGAACAGCCGTGACGGATATGAAACACAGATCACTTTTCATTTTCAGGCTAAAAGCGCCTCACCTCGTCGCATCTGTCTGACCCGGACGTCCCTTTCTTTTTCGCCCCCGTCCCCTCCTCTTCCCTCCGCCTCTTCCTCCCTTCCTCAGACTCCGCCCCGGGCGACCTCAGACCGGCGGGCACCCAGTCAGGCTTGTCCGGCGCCCGGTACAGCATGACCACCGAGGGCTGGGACAGGCTGGGCAGGTAGGCCAAGCAGTGGGGGGAGGGGGAGGAGGAAGTGGCGAAGAGGTGCTCCGGGTGGACGGGTGGTGCGAGCGGGGCGGGACGGGTGGAGGACGGAGCCAGCGGGCTGCTGCTGGCAGGACGGTTACTGCAGAGAAAAACAAAGACAGAAGCAAGAAATGATTAGAATTCAAGCTTAAATTGTCGGCTTGAACCTGAGTCGGCCCCTCAGGCTTTGGGCCAGTAATGGCTCTCGTTTTTACGCCAAGAATATTCCTTTTCTTCAACACACACACTTCTATGTCCTACTATTTCTCTCCCTCCAAAAAACACTTAGCAGCCACAGTGTTGAGGCAGCTGTGGTTGGGCCACGAGCAGGCCAACCATAGAAACAACATGAACTACTGTGTACTCTATCTATGCAGCCAAAGCACACATTCACAGGAGATGAAAACTATCCACAGTGGCATGTTACATGTAGCCCGGAGCTACAAATGCATCAGCCAATGCAAATGCTGGCAGTGAGTGTGAAATATTCTGGAGTCTCATTCAGTGAGTGGGGACTTCATTTTGAGATGAGCCGTTTATAATATTGCCTTTACCTTCCAACATTTGTCCTTGTTCCAGGCAGCGGATGTGGATTCTCTACAGTAAATCTGATACAGACTGTCCCGGCAAAGGCTAGCAAAGAGTAACTGTGGGCAGTAAACTGTTTGGCAGTAAATCTGTGTTGGTAGACTGCAGATAAATCTAAACCGAGAGCATGCAAGGGAGTTTACAGTGTGGGTTGGGTATCTGCGTGTGCTGGCATTAACTCACTCGGGGCCGTTTCCGAACTGCAGTCGACACACCGCGCTGTTGCTTATTGTCTTTCTGGAATAATCCACAGGCTGGGTTGGCAGACCTGCGGTGTGAGGGAAGAAAACAATTCATCAGATTGAGAATATAAAACTTTCTACTGTAGTAAACCATTGACTTAAAAAAAAAAAGGCATACAAATGAGTGTCTCTTACCCATAAGGTCTCGTCGTGGACTGCTGGGTGCAGAGTTGACCAGCCGCTGTACGGCCACGGAAGTGGGTGTGATGTTGAAGGAGGCGTGGCGCGCCATCTTGGCTCTTCTGAGGTCCAGGCCCGACATCGGCTGCGTGGCCTCAGGCAGAGTGATGGTTGCCACGTTCACAGTATTTCCTACAGCTGATGATGGGGAGATGGATAGAGATTGAGTTAGATGTTGATTTTGGTATGCTGATGCTGAGCCGGTAGCGGAAGTTACATGGCAGCAGATGCTATAATAAGCTCTTTTTTACACCCAGGGGCAATAACAACAGTGACCACCCTTTTTTTCCCCTCTGTGCTGTGGTTCTTAAGTCTCCATCCCTCACCGTCTCTACTTTCTGTAGCTGTTGAACTCAGCTACATCAACCGACCTCGTTACATAACAGATTAGAATACTGCAACATGGCGGCGCTCTTGCCACGGAAGATATAATGGAGCTTCTTTCTTCTTTGAAACGCTTACGTTCATGTTTGTTATAGAATTGTTAGAGTGGAGAGCCAGTTAGTAAAAGTTTCAGCTTAACTTGGGAGACTTTTATTCTTACCAGCACTTCCAGAGCTTTTGAAGTCAACGGGGCCGAGCCACTTGAAGGCCGGCTTCCTGCCTCTCTCCTCACGGACATGGACTTTCTTTATGAGGCCCAGGCTGGTCAGCACATTTGCGATGTCGTACAGCCGCCGCACCTTAGCTGAACACACAGGGATGATGGTTAGTTTTGACCCAGAAGAGACGTGATTTGTATTCCAAGACATATCTTTTTGTACTCTCTTACTTTTGTACTTGCTGTGACTGGACGAGTCCTGACTCTCCTCGATGAGGATCTTTGCTGCTGCGTCCAGAGTAACCGTCTGAGTCTTGGACACCAGGAAGAGCATGACAAACTTCTGGCTCATGATGCGCAGAGATTTGTCTTTCCTGTTGCCACCAGCTACAAATAACAAGGAAACAGGCAAGTGTGTTAGACCACTGCAGTCACAGGTCTCTACTTTATATCAGATGACTTTTATTAATCATCTGTGAAAATGTTGTCACAGATGTTGTCCTCAGCAAGGAATAACGATTATGCGATGCGTAAATGTGCAGCTGATGCCTTAGTAACACAATTTCAGTTGTGGGTGTGTGTTGATCTGCAGCACAGACGTGCTGGCAGCTATGTATTATTATTATATCGCCTGAGGTCACATTCATCGAGCCACAACATAACCAGCGCACTAACCACTGAACAGACACCATGTACCTTTCGTTAACTCACTATTAAGTGAGTGAGTGAGTAAGTGCTATTATTATCCAGCCACCCTGCCAAGTCAACACACACACACACAGCCTCAATGAGAGGCTGGTGTGCGTGTACTGTATGAGGGATCGCTATGGAAACCAGGTTTGTATTCGTTCCCGTGGGGTTGAAGGTAATGATTGTTTAGCTGTAGTGTTAATTCAGAGGAAGCTGCACCTAAAATTAAATCTACACTTAAAATTGTAAATGTGCTGCATTAAACTGATGGTCTATTCCTGTAAGTAGAACTTCAACAGCCATCAAAGCAGCCAATGGTAAAGATGCAACGGTGCTAGTTGAAGAAAATGAGGGAATTAGCTGGTGGAAAAGGAAATGTTTTTTTGCAGAATCCCATGACTATTAAAAGTTTGAAAAAAAAGTCTCGGTTCATTACCGTTACCGGCGTCTCCGTCCGCCCCGTCGTCCTCGCGCCCCGGTCCGGCCCCCCTGCTCTCAATGGCCAGGTCCATCTGGAGATGGTAGCCCTGCTGCCGACCCCTCCGCTGCAGCTCCTCCAGCGTGGCCTCCAGCCGCAGGCGACCGTACCAGGTGTAGCTGTTCTTGGCGATCCGACCCACGATCATGAGGGACTCCAGCACGTTGACGATGTCGTAGATACGCCGCCGCTCCACTCCTGATTATGTAATGGCGAGAGAAGAGAAATGGCCCACTTGTACTTGGAAACAATACGCTCGCATTTGAATAAAAACTCACCGAATGTTGAGGGTTTATATTAAATGAACGCATTGCACGGTTCCAAATGCAGCTGTTTGTATGAAAAATAAGTCCCTAAATCCAATAACACAATGGCTGGGTCAAGTCCAAACTCTGCCCCCATTACTTACCGAGACTGGTCGCCACCTCATCCAGAGAGATCCAGATGGGGCTGTGCGGCGGTGGGTAGTCGGGGTAGAGGGCCAGGAACTTCTGGCACAGCAGACCCAGACTCTTCTGCTTCCTGCTCGGCTTTTTGTCAGCGTCATCTTCTTCATCCACAGCTTCAAACTGGACAGACGGATGAACGCATAAAGAGATGAATGACTAACATTTTTCATTCGGGCACTAATTTTACACCGGCTAAGGGGACTGCCATCCTCCAGGGTTAAAGTGTGACATATCGCAGTCCAGAGCTTTTTTGTAACATGTTTTCAGCAGAACATATTTTAGAGAATAATTAAATACCAATAAGGCTGGAAAAACCTCCACACGTCGGATTTAAAGAAATAATCGCAACACAAAAGCTCAGCGATTTAGGCTGCAGCTGCCACTTTACATACAATATGACTTTATCTATTCGGCATAACTGAGTAAATGTATTTGAGCTTTTGAAAACTCCCTATCTCGAGCGTTCAGCTGCTAGTGTAAGTAAAGTGAGGGGGTAAGTGTTTACTCCCTGGACTTCTAAGACAGTGGAAGTTATGGCTGGCAATCTAACAGATCTCTCCTCAGTGGGAGAAAAGAATAAGACCTTTTCAGACTTCAAGAACTAAACAGAATGTATTAAATGCTGTATTGACTAATTTAGAAATCTTTTGAAACCACATGATGTTCAATAACATGGTTTGGCTCTTAGCCTCTTTAGCAGGTCAAATACCTGACAAGAGTCTTCCACCTCCGTATCCTCCGCCACAGTATCTGGACTTGCCGGCTTGTCCTTCTCGTTCTCGATGGGTCGAAACAGCACCTTTTTCATCTCTCTGTCCCGGATGTCTGGGCTCGCCGCACTGATCAGCATCTTGAGATTGGCCGTGGGCGTCCAGGGCTCGGCCAGGGCTGTGTGTTTGATGGGGGTGATGTGGGCCAGGTCGGGGGTGGACCCCTTTCTGCCCATCAGCAAGACAGGGATGGGGGACTCTGCTGATTTCAGTGGCGTGGACCACCTTCTCTCCGAGCAGATGTTTTCCTGTGGTTGAGACAATGGTGTGTTGTTGTTACAAATGTTTGGTTACGGGTTCCAAAATTTGCTTATACTTTCACCTGCTGCTGTCAACACAAATCTCCATCCAGGGGTTTTATCAGACGTTGACACTAAGACAGAGAGACCTGAGACATGCGGATGAATTTGGGTGCCTTATTAAAATAAGAAATTATGTACTTTCAAGGAAATCCACTGACTTCTTTGGCGTTTTTGTCCCCCCTCTAATCTACAAACTACTTTCCCACTTTCTCTCACAGAAACCTATCTGTTTAAATCCAAAAGCCACCCAAGCCCAGCCCATTTTTTTTTCAACCTCATCTCACTGATCCAGATGCCACCACATTACTCTAAACATGGGTCTCTGATTAGCCTGATTCCGCAGTCCTCCCTAAGTTGCATCTCCTCAAACCCGTTTCCCTGCTCAGACCACACCTAAGACCAAGCAGTAGCAGTAAGGCAGACCTTACCTTTTGTTCACCGTGGCCCCCATCCTCATCCGTGAAACCTTTCCTGGGACTTGTGAGGTCTTTCAGTGCGAGACATTCAACTTCCATCTGGGAAAACTGCAGTCCAAATAAAAGTGAAGATGGATGTAAGAAATCGGATATAGATTACCCGACTAGTGTATCAGCGGGGTGAACGGGGAAGCCAGGTGAAGTTCAGGTAGTAACTTACTAAAAACTCAGACGAGTGGTCAGCTGAATTTGGCGCAAAGGACATCAGCTAATTAGCCCGTAGCAAGCTAGCGGCTGTAAGTTAACTATCAAGTTCCTTCCTTAACAGTGGTTTATTGCTAACGTCACGTACACCTAATGCATTGCCGCATAACATAATGCATTGCATGTTTTCCAACGTGTCACACATATGTAGCAACTTGAGAGCTGTATGTGTTTTTACATGACATTCATAAATGACGTTACTTCGAAGTTGTAAGATAGCCTCAACATTCTCAACTTGGTAGAAGGCCAATTCACTCGTGTTAGTCCATACATTTAGGTGTGGCAGAGCCTGTTAACGGGGATGCTTACTGTTACATTACTGTGACATATTTATAACGTTGGTCATAAATGCTAATTCAGCTTTAATGAGCTACTTGGCTAGCGTTACTAGCTCAGCTGACTAGTATTACATAACGCAGTGTTACAGGAAGAAGGAAATTCATTTCTCACCTTTCTCTGCTGCTGAATGAATGAAATGTTCCAATGGAGGTCTGTGTCCGGTTTTATCGACTTGTCACTGCGTACTTTCTTCAGACTAACATAGCAGCTAATTTCCCTCTTTAAAATAAGCGGGCCTATCCTCTGACTGTACCTCCAGTCCTCTATTCCTGTCCGATTCGCGGAAACTCAGCACTGTCCCGTGGAGACTCCAGCATCCCCCGCTCAAGCTTGTTTTCTGGCGCTCTCCGGCATCTGGCACACTCCAGCCAATCAGCGCCCAGATGAATGGACGCGTCATTCATCTCCAGCCAGTCAGCGTTATTGTGTTCGGTACGCGCAGCAACTTGGAGCAAGGGGCGTGGACAACGGCCACGCCTCCAGAGTTGTGTTGGCGGGGCAACCGGCGCGCTCTGTCCAAGCCTGAGGGGAGTTTAAAAAAAGAGGTCTCACTCTGTAACTTTTTCCAGTGCAGCACCAGAAATCGTTTTTATTTTTATTTTTTTTACAGTCTAGCACCTTTCCAGTACAAAATGAATGGGCGTAAAATTATTTCCAGTTCTATTGGTTTCAGCAATAATTAGTAAGCAAGGGAGACACAGGGAGGCGCCAAAGAAAATTGAATAATATTTAACGAATTAAAACAATGTATTCTAAAGAACGTGAAAAACAAAGGGTACAATTATTTGTTGACACCATATAACATAGATATGATGATATACCGCTAATGACGACCGAGTTTGTTTCTTTTACGACCGATTTATCTTCTGAAACAAGTGACTCGTCGCCTTAATAGACGGTCTTTGATTTTCAGCTGGGAGTTTTTGCAGCTCCCCTGCTTCCTTTCCCACAGGGACACCAGCGCCAACCAGGCTTGTTAAACCCAGCGCCTAGAAATCCACTATTAGTACCTTTTAACTTAATCCCTCAGGCTTTTGTTTGGCTGTAATTAGCTCTGCGGTTGAAACGGACAGATGGGAGGCCGGGGAGGGAGGCGGGGGACGACACGACTGGCGCTAATATCACCTGGGCCATAGCGCGAAAAGTTGTGGAGGGGGAGTGCTCACTTTTTTTTTTAGCAGACAGGGTCCCGCCCTGCATGCAAAGAGGCTGTCTGAGGAACAGCCCCAAAGTTCTTACATAATAGCCCACAATACACAAAATCTGCCGCCAAATGCTATTCAAATCTGAGCCAGTGGAGAAGGAGGGAAACAACACAAGTACATTAAATCTGTGATGCAATTTAGAGGGATAGATAACTGTTTCAAAATATCACTACACTTATTGATCTACAATAATGTTAAAGTGGATTCCTTCTCACTGCAAGTTAAGTTGTTGTAAAAAATAGGCATGTTACTTTATGACAGTGGTTTCCAACCTGGGGGGCGGGGGCCCATCGAGGGGTTCCCAATTCTTCATATCATCAGCACCTGTAAGAATTCTCTGTTCACAATTCATCAACTACTGTAGTTGTCAACCTATGAAGGAGGTCACTAGATCGAAGTTTATTTCAAGCTCTAATCTCTTACAGCATGTGGTCTGAAAGGAACTATGTTGATTTTTGTGAAGGACTCTTTGCCATTTTGTATACAAGTCGTTGTTTAGAATTTGCTTTACAGTCAGCAATGCAAAAACATAACAATATTTTTTATGCATATATGTTGATAGAAAATACTTTCTGACAGTATATTCCTGACATAAGAATGCTCGGTATTAAATCCAGTAAAATATGGCTGTCATTGGTTCAAAGGAGTCAATACTGCGAGGGTGCTGCACAAAGGTGATGGTTCCAGAGGTTGACATTGACAGCATGTAGTTTCAATGCTGCTATCCATTGTGAAATAAACAAGAGCAAACATTTTCAATTGAGCACAAACTGTAGGGTTTGATGGAAATGTTAGGTTTACACTTGAGAAATAACGGATAAAAAGCATGATGCTTTCATAGAGGTATTGTGTGATGTATTTTGTAATGAGCTGATTTTGGAGCCAAGATCTAGATTTCTACCTGATAATATAAGTTGTCCCTTCTTTACTTGTTTCTGTGCTAATTGGAATATTCTCTGGGGTTTGTCTATGCAAGGCATTCTGTGAAATGTTAAATCACCAAGGCTCTTGCTGCCTTATACCCTCTCCACTTGTCTCTCTTTGCCTGCCCTTTTCACTCTCCTCTGAATTTGTATGACTCCAACACAGTTGCTGTAGCCTTTTCTTGCCTGTTTCTCTGCTCTGTATTGCACGCTGACCTTTTCTCAAACTGCTCCCCTGGAAAATTGTTCGTATTCACACTGAGCTCAGTGCCGTCATTTTACAACATCTGAAAAGTCTTACACCTGACATTAGCATTTAGTAAAGGCTTCAGACACAATCTGAAGTTGGCTTCCCAGGTGCGGACTGCCCTCTATCACAGTTGCACTTTCCTGTCACACATTCTTGTTGAAATTACTCATTTCCCAAATTTTTAAAGTCCCATAAATATACGTTGCCAGGTTAGGTTGATGCTTGGTTGACTTTTACACTGTGTGCAACAGATGGTAAATGCTGCTATGAGAACTTTTATTATTTCCCTGCTCAACTCCATCACACATTGATGCATCTAACCAAATATTGTCGTAGAAATGGACATAATGACTTTGAGGTGTTCCCTCACTGGTGTCCCTGGGAGCTACAGCAGGTTGGAGTCCCCTCCATCATCATCAACTCTCCCCCAACTTATGGTGCCCTTCTGCGTTCCAGATGGTGCCACAACTTTAACGAGGGTCTTCGTAGAAATAGAACAAGTGTCTGCTGAGCAGTAGGCGATTTGGCCAATGGGCTCCACCTCTTTTGCTCTCCGCATGGACTGTTTGTCGACATTTTACCGACGCCTTGTCATATGTGATTGGTCGATATACTCGAATTATAAACGAAAAAATAATGCTTCCGATACCAAAATTGTGTCCTGTTGCCTTTTGTATAGAGATTGTAAGCGGGGTGGATGAGTAGAACTTAAGCGGGGGTAGTAAATACTTAACTTTATTAAGGTTTTTAAAAGAATGGAAAACATTTGACCACCAACTCTTTAAAACATCCATTTATGTGAATATTTCACACATTTACATTCTATTCAGAAAAACATATTTTAAACCGTTGTTATGTACAGTGTTAATCTGAAATCAAACATATATTAGAGTAATATAGCAGAGGACTGTTCTGACTAGTGATTAACAAAGCAGAATGTTTCATCGAATGTGATTAATGTCGGCCTTATCGGCTAAAAGTCCAGCAGCCTTTCAAAGAAATAAATAAATTCTAATTGAAAGGGAAGATGCATTGGTGCAACGCTAAATGTCCTATTGATCACATTTAGTAAACGCAAAATACATTTCCAAGAGACAAGTGACAGGAAAATGAGGAAATAAAAACTGAGAAAAGAGATGAGGGAATATTTTTTTATTTGTTTTTGGAAAGGAGCTGTTAGCAATCATATTGGTCTAATGAAATCACATTAGACCTCTTTAATGTGTTAGCCTTCTCTATAGAAGTCCTGCTAGCATGGCTAAAACTATGTATTTGTTAACACATATGAAAGCAGCATATAGTGGATCAGTATGGTCGGGAACATAAAGTGAGAACACAGAACAGTTTCATTAAATCTTGGCAGTGACTTCTTCAACCTCCTTTGCCTTTGCGTCTTTATCAAGAGATCAATGATAATTTATTGAAATAAAACACCTACATCACAGAGACACATGCAGAAACTCATCAGCACTTCATTCTCGCTTCTTTAATTTGATCTGTAGGCTGTGTTGAATATGATCTATAAATACACCTTTGTGATGAGGATTTTTTTGGGAGGGCAGACAAAGACTTTCATTTCTTGAGCAGCTGCTTGAGACAAGCAGTGACACTGGTCAGAGGACACTGAATGAAAACCCAAAGCTATTCAGTTTACTATCATAGAAGGCTCAAAACCACCAAATATTCACTTTAGAAAAGCTCAAGCCAATGACTTTCTTCCACTTTTGCTTAAAATAAATACTTAAGGGTTAAGTTGATCAGCAGAACTGTTGCAGATTAATGAATTAACTTATCAGTCAGTTATATTTCAGTCAGTTATATTTCAGCTCTCAGCTGTCAGCCGGGCAGGTCGTGACTTGTCCTTCTTCAAGTTGCCAGGGAGTCAGTTGAAGCTGTTTGGCCCCAACAGCCAGCAGCGACTCCCCTCCTCCTGCTTTCACAGGTCTCTAACATTTAAATAATGTCACAACTCAACACTCGAATCTTATTGGGCCGTTGAAGGCATTGTGCGTCCTAAGATACCAATCTGTCAAGGGGTTTGACAGATTGGGATCAACACTCAACCTAAACAAGAACAGAAATGAAAACCGATAAATCATATAAGCGATGCTATTTCTTAAGGCAAAAACACTGGTTTTCTTCATCTTCTGTGACTTGAATATCTTTGGGTTTTAGTGTTGTTTGAACCAAACAACCAACTTGATTACATCAACTTGAGCTCTGTTGGGCCTTTTCTATCCGACCTTTTTATAACAAGCAATTCATCAACACAATAATCGATAATGTTATCCATTAGGAAATTGTTAGTTTAAGCAACAATAACTCACATCACAAAAACTTAGACTGCAGTTTTGAGGATGAACAGCATCACATTAGATGTTATGCTCGCAGCTCAGCTCAGCTACAGCGTAACCATGGATGCTAAACACATTCTGGGCAAGAGTTTGTGAATTCGTCTTGAAAAAAGCATTTTTCAGAGAAGTAATCCCAGTTATCTACTTTTAATAGTATTTTTCCAGTGCGGTATTGATATTAAATTATTAGAGCACATTTTCCTCCCCAGTAAAATGCTGCTTGTATATTCATTCCTTACTTACATTGGCTTTAAGTGCATTCATCCAGAGCAGTTTACTTTAAATGTGCAACACTAAGCTTCATTTCTTTAATAATAGTTGTTTAGGTAACGAAGCATGGAAGTTATAGTACAACAAAACACCGCGCCACAAAGGTGAACAGCTGTAACTGCATTTGGGTTTTTTTAAGGTCAAAGGTCATTATAATGTACCTTTCTGAAAGTAGCTGAAGAACCTACTGTAAATCGGTAAGAAGTGAAAGCTAATTGGTCGTATTTTTGCAACATCAGTGCGCAGCAG